TCACATGCAGGGGCACTGAGCACTCCTTGGCAAACTCAGTGCAACGAAGCTATGCCTTGGAGTGGGAAGCACGGACTGATCACCCGTGTGTACCTGCGCTGAACATACTGACTCCACTGGTTCCCCTCGCCGCTGTTTTTTGTTTTCATGGTTGTTCCCATGCTACCTTCCCCAAAAACAGGTTTCCCACCGCACTGCAGCTGCTGAACGCCGCTTCCACTTGCACGCTTTCGGAAACATTGTTCAACAATACTTTTCTGCGGACTCACGCACCTTTCCGTTCCTTCACCTTCCTTCTCAACGTGGGAACTGAGTCACTGAATACAAGTGTCAGAGTGTCAGAGTGTGTGTTCGTGTAAGTTGAGGCAGTGCGTGGGTGTCTGTGTGTGATGCGGCCTCCCAAACCCCCCACCGGCGGCCAAGCGGTGACAGCCCAGCTCATCGTCATGAGCATTTGAGCTGCTGGTAAGGGGAGAAGCAGCGTGCACGGCGCCAGGAAAAGCTCACGGAAAAAAACGAGCCGGAATGAAGACAGAAAAGTGCCGAGGCAGGTACGCAACAAGTGTGTCAAAGCAGTGACCTGTCAGAGGAGATGCGTCCAGCGATGTACGATCAGAGGTAAGGTTTCCTTCACTCCAGGACACTAGCTTTTCCAGGATGTAGTCAACCAACCACTATGCTTGTCATTGCTTAAATGACTGTGTCCAAGAAAAACGTGACAAAGTAGCATGAGGTGACACACAGCAGGCACTGTAGATGTTTAGCGTACTCTCGCTGTTCAGCTCGCGACCAGTGTTAGAGTGAACGAAGTAGCGCGCAGGCCTCCCAAACCCCCCACCGGCGGCCAAGCGGTGACAGCCCAGCTCATCGTCATGAGCATTTGAGCTGCTGGTAAGGGGAGAAGCAGCGTGCACGCCTCCAGGAAATCTCACAAGTTCTTGACCTCTCGCAAGTCACCTCCGCCTACCACGTCGCCAGTTCTCATCTTCCAGCTCCCCAGATACTCCGCGTACACAAGTTGTACTACAATGTCGCCAGTTCTCAGCTTCCAGCTCCACAGCTACTCCGCGTACTAAAGTTCTACTACAAAGTCGCCACTTCTCAGCTTCCAGCTCCACAGATTGCTCCGCGTACTACAGTTGTACTACCAAGTCGCCAGTTCTCAGCTTCCAGCTCCCCAGCTACTCCGCGTACTACAATTGTACTACAAAGTCGCCAGTTCTCATCTTCCAGCTCCCCAACTAGTCCGCGTACTAAAGTTGTACTACAAAGTCACCAGTTCTCATCTTCCAACTCACCAGATACTCCGCGCACTAAAGTTGTACTACAATGTCGCCAGTTCTCATCTTCCCACTCCCCAGCTACTGCGCGCACTAACGTTGTACTACCACGTCGCCAGTTCTCATCTTCCAGCTCCCCAGCTACTCCGCGTACTACAGTTGTACTACAATGTCGCCAGTTCTCAGCTTCCAGCTCCACAGATTGCTCCGCGTACTACAGTTGTACTATAAAATCGCACTCTCGCCTGCATTTCGCGCACTCAACACGCACGATCTCCGCAGAGGGTTGCGCGCGGACCCGGCGCATCGC